ACACACACACACACACACACACACAGTGTTTCCTCCAGGGTTCACCTGGAACGAAGTACACCTGTCACACCCGGGGGGGGGCTTCAAACAAACACCTACCTGTGGAAGGGTGTCCCACTCTGAGAGGGGAGCAGTGGGGGGAAATGGGTGCAGCCAGCCCTGGGAGGTTGTGCTTAAAACGGACCCCATGAATGTTGCCCCAGGTGGCACACACACACACACACAGTGTTTCCTCCAGGGTTCACCTGGAACGAAGTACACCTGTCACACCCGGGGGGGGGCTTCAAACAAACACCTACCTGTGGAAGGGTGTCCCACTCTGAGAGGGGAGCAGTGGGGGGAAATGGGTGCAGCCAGCCCTGGGAGGTTGTGCTTAAAACGGACCCCATGAATGTTGCCCCAGGTGGGCTCAAACCTTTCAGTCCCACACTCGGGCACTTGAGACCACCACTGCCCTCCACACACAAATGTTTAATTATCCTGAAGACCCCATGTGGTGGCACATGGAGCTGGCACCTGAACCCATAAACAGACCACATTTTTTTTTTACAAAAGTTATCCAAAGTGATTGGGGGTGGGTGAGGGTTAGGGTGAAGGTGGGTGGAGGGCCACTGGATGCTGAAAGAGAATTTTGGAGCCCTGCGGATGAGCCAGAGGTCGGAGCACTCGGATCAAGGGTGAGCCCAGACCAGGTGCTCTGTATCAGCAACCCAAAATCGTTGGGGAGCCCTTCTGTCTTCCTGTCCTCGAGAGGGAAGATCGGGGTGGGGGTATCTCGTGTGTCAAAGCGAGCCTCTCTTTCTAGGAATGCTGCATGACTCCAGCCTGGCATGGAAGCCGGAGGGAGCGGAAGGCAAAGCGACTCTGGCTACAGCCTCACAGCAGCCTCCGGAGAGACCCCACTGAAGAAGGAAAGAAAGAAAGGTTTCCAGGGTGAAGCCCGTCCGGGGAAGAGAGCAAGACTTGCAGCAGAAAAATCTGTGGCTGGGAAAGCTCAGCCCCGTCATTCCCAGTTGGCCAGAAAAGGAGCGCCGGGCGAGGCATTGTGCAAGGCAGGCGTGTGGAAATCAAGAGAGACTCTTTCCCACCCCGCACAAGATTACTCTGGAGGGGCAGAATAGCTGGCAATTTCCAGAGACCAACAGAGAAAGGCGGGGGGAGACTCAGCGTGGCCCCCCCACTCCCGCAGCCCTCTGTTTCCCCTTGGATTCCTGAGCAGAGGCCAAGCACTGCGGGGCTGCTTGTACGAGGTTACGCTCTTGCCCTTCTCGGGACAATTAATAAGCACTTTCCTTTGAATCCAAGAGTTCTGTTTTTCTGTTCCAAGGATGGCGTGAATTGTTCTAATGAATGTGATGCAAGTCTCTTCCCCACCCCCATCCCTCAGGCGGGGGGGCGATGAACGACCCACTAGATGTCTGCCACGTTGCTACAGCTGGGCCACTTTGCAAGGAGTTCTCCTTCCACAACAGCTCTCCACCACCTCTGCCAACAAGTAGGGCGAAGGGGTGGCCGGGCCACTGATGCCCTGGTCCCTTGGAGGAATGGGGCAGTTGGTGGCAGAGGAGCGGCTGGCGGGGGGGGGGGCTCAGGGGTTTAGACCTCTATGAGGCAGGGGGAGCTTGAGTCCACCGAGGGCCACGGGGGGGGGGGCTCAGGGGTTTAGGCCTCTATGAGGCAGGAGGAACTTGAGTCCCCTGAGGGCCTGCCCCTTCCCTTCCTTTCCTTGGTGTTCCCCTTCGCCAAAGAGAAGCACATTGTAAGCTCCTGGGGGCAGAGACCGCTCCCCCTGCCCTCCGTGAAGCATCAGAGGTCCATGGAGAGCCAGCTGCTTCCCCACAAGCAGGAGTCAAAGTCTAGGGCTTTTGACTGGGGCAGAGGCGGTGGCTTCCCTTTCGCCCCTTGTGACACATCGTGGGCCGTTGGCCGCCCTTGCTGCCACAAGAGAGACAACACGGAGGACCTCTAAGGAAGGCAGAGAGGCAAACGTATGTCAGCAAACCTTCAGACCTTCAGGCAGGAAAGGGGTCTGGTGTCCCTTTGCTTCAGAGCAGACTTTAAAAATTGGTCCAGTTTGACGCGCTGAGCTGCTGCTTCCTTATCCTCTCATGAACTCTGCTGTGCTTTAATGTAATCAAATAAAGGAACAGCCGGCCAGAAATAATGCTGCCCCCCCCCCCCCCGTGGGCTCCCTGCTGCCCTTCTGGAGATGAAGATAAACGGTGTGTGAGGAAACAGCCCTCTTGGCCCGGCTGGTTGGGGGTCTGCTCAGAAGGGCTGGCGCTGCGTCCAAAGTCAACTTCCCATCGCCATGTGGCTTCCTCTCCCTCTGGCCCCGCTCTGAAGGAATGCAAGGGCTGGTCAGGCCCATCCTCCCTCCCTCCCTCCCTCC